TTTTTATTTATACACAGTAACCCACATTAGCCAAGTAAAACAAAAACACCCCCACTTACAATTGCATTTGTAAACTTGCTCAGGTATAACCAATGACTTTACAAACTACACACCAAACTAATTGGCTCATACCTGTGATCAATTGTGGTGATTTCTATTAGTTCAGAATAAAAGCAGCTGTTTCTAGTGGATTCCATTGCTTGAATGTGCATTTCAAAGGAAAGAATCCACTATGGGTGGAAAGGTGCTTTCAAAAGAACTTTTGAGATAAAGTTGTGGATGGGTATAAAAACATTTCAAAGGCTTTAAGTATCCCTTGGAGCACAGTGAAGACCATCCTTATGAAGTGGAAGGCGTATGGTACCACCCAGACCTTGCCTAGATCAGGCCTTCCCTCCAAACTGGATGACCAAGCAAGAAGGAGACTGATCAGAGAGGCTACCAAGAGGCCGATGGCAACTTTGAATGAGCTACAGGCCTTAATGAAAAAGACTGGTCATTGTGTGCATGTGACAACAATATCACAAGCAGTCCACAAATCTGGCCTGTATAGGAGGGTGGCAAGAAAAAAGCCACTCCTTAAAGGTCACATCAAGTCTTGTTTATGTTTTGCTAAAAAGCACCTTAAAGATTCTGTGGCTGAAGCCGAACTTTTTGACCGGATGCAAAACGGTACATCTGGCGAAAACACAATACATCTTACCATCCAAAGAACACCATTCCTACAATAATGCATGGTGGTGGCAGTATCCTGTTGTGGGGGTGTTTTTCTTCAGCTGGGACTGTGGTACTTGTCAGGATAGAAGGGAAGATGGATGGTGCAAAATACAGGCAAATTCTTGAAGAAAACCTGCAGCCAGGAAGTTGAAAATGGGAAGACGGTTCACCTTTCAACATGACAATGACCCAAAGCTCACTGCCAAAGCAACCGTACAGTGTCTGAAGGACAGGAAGGTGAATGTCCTTGAGTGGCCTAGTCAGGGCCCCGACCTAAATCACATCTAAAATCTTTGGAATGACTTGAAGAGGGCAGTCCATCAATGGTCACCACGTAGTTTGACTGAGCTTGAACAATTCTGTAAGGAGGAATGGGCAAATATCCGTGCCTCTAGGTGTGCAAAGTTGGTAGAGATGTATCAAAACAGACTCAAGGTGTCATCCAAGCAAACCACCAAGTATTAACTCAGGGGGGGTTCTCATATTCAAACCAGTTATTCTACTTTTTTTCAGAAGTTTTGCTTTCTTTTTTTAAGATGGATGTTGCAAGGTACAATTTGTAAGTAAAAGTGGGAAAAAGTCTGATTTTATTTGTGTTCTTTTTTGGCTTTAGGTCAACAAAAGGTGAACTTTTTGAAAGGGTGTGGTGACTTTCTATGCCCACTGTAGATATATACTGTAGGTATTAATGGGTGACTTTGCACTGCTACATTCACATATCCTTATTTATTACATGAGGTGTTAAGTTTCTTCAATTTGGATTTGCCTAACATGCCACTTTGGAAATATGTAGCTAATGTGCTGGGCAAGGGTATTCTATACTAACAGCCTTCTCTAATTTATTCATTTATTCAGTTTAGATGCTCAGCTGCATCAAAAGCAACACTGAGGTCAAGAAGGACAAGAATGCATAAAATATTGTTACACTCATCAGTAAATAATTAGTGATTGTAACAAGAACTGTTTCAGTATTATACATCAATCTGACCTCAGAGTAAAATGTCTCATACAGTTTATTTGCAGATAAGTGAACTTGTAGCTGAATGTCAAGAATTTCTAAAAATTTAACAATATGCTAACTTAGCTATTGGTTGATAATTGCTAAAGCTCTGCATTTTTAACAGAGGTATCAAATATGTAAGTTTATGGACTGAGGAATCAATTTCATATCTTCATGACATGTGTGACAATGGGACAGAAAACATAGTAATACCTAACAGACATTCTTTCTCTGTTGTATTTAAGAAAGCAGCACACAGGGATAAAAAATTGGCAGCTGCCAATATCATATGGAGGTACAATGTACTGTAATTGTCTAATGCACAATTCAGTGAAAGTAGGAGAAAAGAACTGTTGCCACATCAGTTTCTATTAAATAATGAGAAATGGCCAAATGCAAATGAGAAAAAAGCAAAGGTAAAGGTAAATATAAATAACAGGAGGAGCTGCAGATGTGAATATGTCATCAGCTTTCATATTTTAAAAAGAACGACAATTGATAAAGTAGACAATGAAAATAAAATTATATACTAAGAACATTTAAAACACCATTTTAGCCTTGTTAAAAAATCATAAACCTGGCTGATTTACCTTAATATATTCCCGAAGATTACACAGACACAATTCATGCATTTTAAGTCGTGAAATTCTTGCATTATTCAAAACCATGGTTTATAATGCGAACAGGAGAGATTACAACATTATTGAACCTTTCTTTGTTTGGTCAATGGTGATGTTAAAATAAGAATGTATTGCTATATTACATATAACTCCTAGAGTGTTTTCTTTGGTTAGTTTGATCCACCTTTTGTTTTTGTTTCTACATTTTGACCACAGTGACAGCCTGTATTGTGAAAATCCCAGTATGTGCACCTCCCAGCTCTTGGCTTATGAAGTTTAAAAACGATCATATGACTTGGCTTGTTGCTTGTGTGTTTTTCTGACAGACAGGAAGCTTCTTCTCACCTTCTGTATTCAACATCTACTGTTGTATCCTATAGCAAAATGTGGTGATTAATATCCAACTGACAGCATTTAATACCCACAATTAAGTGTCAAAAATTCAAAGTGTCAGTGCACTAATTTGTAGCAACGTTCTAGGTTTACATGAGGGCTACTGTTCCTTCATGGCATTTGTCATAATCTTCCCTTTGTGGTAATATGACACAGAATATAGACTTTAAGGACATTGATTTAGAAAGCAGAATGAGTGAAGGACATTTGTAAAATCAGAAGCAGGACTGAATTAAACATATTTATTAGGATGATTGAATTGCCAAAAATGTACTGCAGCTGTGGTGCATTTTTACACTGTTGAAAGAGAATGGAAACTAAATCTAATCAGGTATGTGGAAAATGATGTAATTGTAACTGGAACATCCATCTGCTCTCCGCAGATCAGTGTGATTCTCAGTTTTGTGTTGCGTGTCATAGTTTCAAAAATATATTCCATCTGCTTTTAATGGAGCTTTAACAGTGACTTCATTTTTTAATGCCTGACGATGTGTAACTTTTTTTTACTACAATATATTTTATTAGTCATTTTATATACAGCAAAACTTACAAATTCATTTTTGAATAACCTGAATAACATTTATGTTCATGTGTTTTGTTTAAGTTTTATTTATTTTTTGTGTTTTGTTTGTTTAAGGTAATCTTTCACTGCTTTATTTTTTTGTATTTGTAAATATTAATTTAGTTAACCTTTACCTTTAGAGAGATAACTTACATATATATATCTATATTTGTCTTATGATATTATGTGGTATTTTAAAACTGGCAATAGAGAGTGTTTATTGCAGAATTATTTCTCAAGAAATGTCATTGGCAGGTCTAGATGGATATGCTGAGGTGGACTTTTTTGCACTCAAAATCAGGTCTGATTATAATTCAGTCTGTAGCTCTTTTCAATAAGGCCTTAAAGTTATTCATGTTATAGCACATAATAACATTCTAATCAGAAGAAAAATGTTCTTTAATACCTGAGCTGCAGAAAGGTCTGTCATTTTTATTTTAATGTCTCCTTATCAATGTTTTACAAGACTTTGCTTCTGTGTCCAGACTCTGTTTTACATCTTACTGTATGCCAATTGCAATTATGTCCTGGATTCCACTGAAGCAGAGATTAAAGTTGTCTTAATAATAGTAGTGTTGAAAAATCCATTAAAAGGATGTATTATAGATATTAATATATAAATGTTATTCATAATATATATATGTACATTTTAATTATACATGAGGATGTGGCACTGAGAATGTAATGCTTATTTTCATACTTTAGTTCAGTGTATGTTTACATTGATGATAGTGTGACATTTTTAAAAGCTACTAAGGCAGTATAAAGTCAAGTATCTACACATGTACTTCTAAAGAGTATTTCTCCATAAATAAAATGTGTGCTATATTTATAAAACTGCTTTTGGCCAAGTGGTAACATCTTTTGTCTTGTGTCTTGAAGCACAATTACTTGATAACAAGAAAGAAAACAATAAATAAAAGTGTCTATTTACACGTAAGTCTGACAGGGTTTCTTTTACAACAGGACATTGCAATGCAGAGCTGTTCTTAAACATAATATAGAACAGTGCCACTGCTTCATGAACACTGGCTCTCTAAAGAGATCTCCTGTCATGTTTGCACTTCCTGTCAGTAATTCCCTCACAAACAACAAAAAGCTTTATCTGCAGATAAAAATACACATCCATGTTTCAGGTAGACATTTCATATCTGCTTCATATAAGACTTCTGTGCTATATAAAATCTTGTCACAAGTCTTATGTCTTCTTCCACCCTCTTTTTGGTGACGTCTTCCCTGTCTTTCATCATGCAGTGTATAGACTCAAACTCAAGTTTCCCTTTCTTATCTGGTATCTCACATCATTTTAGAATATATGTCTACGGGTCTCTACTTTTGCAAATTTTACAGTGTGGGATTTAATACAGGCAGATGATTTCCTAAGTATATTCACCATTTGACATTAGAAAAGCAAATCTTGAGGGGATATAAAGAATCTTTTGTTAGTCGACCTTTTCCTGATTTTGACTTCTGTGATGTTACCATTACGGAAAAAAAAAAACTGTAACCAATAATCTTGGATTATTGGAACTAGGAATATGTAAACCACATATACAAGAAAACAGAAACAGAAAAGATGATCATGGGAAAGCTTGGAAATGAAATGGATGGATAAGCAGAATTTCAAATCCTATAAAGATAATATCTCCACACAGCCTTCCGAAATGACAACTCTTTCTCAGAGTCACTGTTTTATTACCATACACAGCACTGTCGGCATGGTAAATGTGTGACCAAAGAAATGGAGGTGCGGCCAGTTCATGGAGAGTGGGGGCCATGGGGTCCATACAGCACCTGCTCCAGATCATGTGGAGGAGGAATTAGAAGTGCAGCCAGAGACTGTAATAAACCTGAGTGAGTGCTTTTTTACTGTTCTCTTTTTTGTTGCTTGTGCCTGATGCTTTATACTTTTTTTTACCCAAAGTCATATTGTTCTTTAAAGTCAAGATTGTGGAAGAAAAGAAAAAAAACAGTTTTTGAAAAATATGTTGCTTTTTTCCCTTTGACAAAGGTATTAGGAACTTTGGACAAAGCTTAGCAAGAATAATAAGAACTTAAAATGTCATGCTATCTAATGGAATTCTGATCCATTCATCTCACAAAGTCTGGACAAGCATATGACACACGGATGTCACATATCATAGCATCTCAAATATGGAGAGTAGGGCATCCGTGCCATTCTCACATTTCAGCCTCTCCACAAATCACTGTTGCACAAGCAGCAAGAGGACATTGTCCTGCTGCAATGCTGTCATATATGGATAAGCCTACAGCAATAAGAGCAGCAGGTAAGGTCTTGGAACATTATCATGGTAAACTCAGGTTGTCTTCATCTAATCAGTGCTCTGTGGTGACTAGAGATTCCTGTTTCCATTGCACTTGGACCTCATAATCAGCTAATCTGTAGTACACACCAATTTAGATGACAGAACGTAAAAGGACTTGACTTCATTGCTTTTAAGGATTCTAAGGTTATGTAGTCCAGCCTGCAAAATAAGAATTGCACAAAGGTGTTGTTCATTTGATAAGCAAGTTATGTTGCTCCCCTTTCTGTTTTACTTTCTTGATTTTTTCCTGGCATCACATGCAGCTGGTTAAATATTCTCTTTACCTGTGGCCTATTAACCCACTCACCTTTGAGGTGACTTAGTGTTTATGCAACTCACAGAGTTACACTTTATTTTTCTGAAAACACTGAAATATAATGTTGTAATTCTGTTACTGCTCTGTGTATAAATACACCATTTTTAATAATATATTAAGTTTTGGAGATGATCTTAAAATATGTTTTGCAGGCCACGAAATGGAGGGAAATTCTGTGTTGGGCGGCGTATGAAATTCCGATCGTGTAATACTGAGGCTTGTCCCAAAGGATGGAAGGACTTCCGAGAGGAACAGTGCTCTCAGTTTGATGGCAAACATTTTAATATCAATGGTCTACCTCCCACTGTACGATGGGTTCCAAAATACAGTGGCAGTAAGTAGTACTGAAAATGGCACATTCACAGTGGAGCATATTCAGTTACTCACAATGGAGGAGAGCTTGAATTTTAAAACTTTTGAATTGTTTCCATTTTGTGTTATTCAAGAGTATTCTTTTTCAATTAAGTCTTGTGTTTTTAAAGCTTACGAAATACTGTGAAAACTGGGCTTTGGTTTTCGCTGATAAACATTAGTTCTGCTCAGTGTGTCCCACAGCAATGACTGTGGTTTTTGTTCTTGGTCACTGGTCAGCCCGCATGTCTACTAATGCAGTGGATCTCAGCCCTGGTCTTGGAGGACCCCTGTGTCTTCTTGTTTTCATTCCAAATGAGCTCTTAATCACTGAGGCTAATTGATGCTTTAAATTGTACTTCTTGCTCGATTAGATCTTTTTAAGTTGTCTCTGCACTCACATTGGTTTCAGAAATCTGCTGCTGAAGTGTTTTCACCAAGAAATTTAGCTTTGTTGAGTCTGTTCTCAATTGGCTTATGAAATGGTTGTTTCCTTATTTCGAAAATGGTGGGCAATGAATGATGTCAAAACAGAGGTGGGAATCACATTTTTTTTGCATAGCTTAATTGATATACTTTTCACACATCTGAAAACAGAGAGAATGATTCATGGTTGATGCAAATCACTAACCCTATCCATTGGCTTAAGAGTTTTGGTAATCTTGCAAAGATAAGTTATCATTGTGATAGAGAGTTCAGTTGGAATGGAATGTAAAATTGAAGACAAAGATCACCCAGGATCAGGGAAGAGGACCACTGTACTGGTGTATAACCAGGAAAAGGAAAAAAGCTTTCAGGTAATTTTCAAAGCTCCACATATTCAATAGTCCGAAAATCAGAAGTGAGAATGTACTATTTCTACAAAAGCATTATTTTTATCAGACCGAATAATAAAGAATTTAACATTACACTTACTTGTGCAGCTGGACATGATCACTTTCTGGCAAAGCAAATGACAGTTTGGCACAGTTTTACATCAGAAGAGAAAATGTCGGAAAAACTAAATTTACACTATAAAAATACACTTTAAAACTTTTATTGCTTGACCTTTCCAGAAATACAAGTTATGAAAAAGGAGATCACCTCATGATAAGGGGAGTATAAAGCAGATCATTTTCAAAGATTGTTGTTATTTTGCAATGCATTTTATCATCTTAAAATTCATTTTATTAATAAAATAATGTTATCTCATTCTATATAGATGAACATCTTTAAACCTTTATAAGGTTTAATTTATAACCTTTAAACATTTGATGTAATTAATATTGACAATAAGGCTGAAACACATCCTCCTTAATTGGTAGTGTAACAGGGAGAAAATGCACATCAACCATCCCTATAGTGTGTGTGTTGAGGAGGTGTCTGGAACAAGTTTTCCTTCCCTCCCTACACTTGCCTTACTCCCACTTCACCCAAACACATATCAGTGGAAGTCCCAGCCCAGTCAATTCTGTGTAGGGCAAGTGTGCTCAGTAACTGTCTTCTAGCTGGCAGGACGGCATGGTAATGATCAAGTCTGCTACTCAAACTAAAGAAATGATGATGTCTAATTTTTATCCAAACCAGAATATTTTCCAGGATGTTTACTATAACTGTATTCCTGAGATTTAAGATCTAGCCCTCCAGAGACTTGTGAGGGTCTGATTAGACAACCCCTGTCTATTCTGATTGTCTGTCTATAGGGAACTGTGGCCACAGTGCATGAGAATGTAAACTTTTTGTAACACCCTCTACAGCTAGAGGACGCTCTTACTCTGTCTTGTCCCTAGTTTCCTGTGCTTTGCTTGTTTTTCTGGTGTGTCTCTGTCTGGGGCTATATACTTCCGGGTCACGCTTTCCTCCTCGCTCGTGTCCGTGGCCTGAGGGCATAGGTTTCTATACGGCATTTCCTGAACAGCTGAGCCCGGGCTAACCCCCATCCCGCCTCTATGTATAGGGTCTTTTTTCGCTCTCCTGCCATTCGTTCGTCCTTTCCGATACCCATGACAGAATGCTGAGCCATCTCCTGATCCCGCGAGTGGTGCTTTTTGTTTTTTCTGAAGTGTTTTGGGCCTTTTTTTTCAGTTCTTCTATTCTAATCATGGGATGCTTCTCCCAACATCCGTGCCTGTGAGCGGGACATTCAGCAGTATGCCATCCCGACATCCGCGTATATACCTGGCTTTCCTCAGGTTGTCACTCCTGGCATCCATGATTGAATGTTGAGCTGACTCTCCTATTCTCATTGCGGGATGCCACTTCCAACATCCATGCCTTTTTTCCCCTGCTCTTCTATTCTCATTTCTGGAAATCATCTCCTGACATCCGTGCCTGTGAGCAGGCCTAGTGCCTGGCTTTCCTCGAGTTGTCTACTCCTGATGTCAGTGATAGAATGGTGAGCTTTTTTCGGTTCCTCTATTCTTATTGGTGGATACCATCTCCCGACGTCTGTGCCTGTGAGAGTGCCTGTGGCTCTCTTGCCATTCCATGGTTCATCACTTCCGACATCCATGACACTTTTCCTGCTTTGGGGGTGTCTCAACATCATTCTCAGACAACTCAGCCCCATTTTTATACTTTTCTTTCACTAACTTGTTACATATCCTCCCCATCTGTTCGAATCCTAGGATAGAGTGCTTGCCAGTGCCAGGCAATGTGCTCTGGAGAACCCAATCACATTGGCAGTCTGAGCTCTCACACAGTGCTATATGGGGGAATGAAAGGAATTGAGTTTATATTGCAGTGTTGGCCGATATTTACAGCTGCTACTTTATTTCACACGGGATTTTATGTAGCCCCTTCCAGTCTTATACTCCTGGTAGTTACTGTTATTGCAAATGATTACACCAGAGGGTGTCCCGATATGATTCTTTGCACATACTCAAGATGGCAGTTTTGTGTTCCTGAACTAACCCGAGGCTCCTTTTCCTATTCCTTCTATGTTTTATACACTTGCTTTATTTGCCCTTCTCTTTCTGGTTCTTCCTCGTCTTCCTTATATGGCGACAGTCTGAATCAGCACTGTGATAGCCACCTCCAAAATTAGGGTTTAAGCAGAAAACAAAATCTGCTTTTGAATGTTATTTTGAGCGGTATCCCATCACCGTCACCAGATGTAACAGATCTCACTTAATAGCAGGGAACCTGCTCATAAACAGTCCAAACACGTAGCAGTGGAAATTCCAACCCGGTTGTGACCTGTTTAGGCCTGTCCACTCAATAACCATCTTCTTTCTTAGCCGTGGGTTCGATCGAGTCTCCAATTCAAAGTAAGGTAAGTATTTGTATGTATATGTCTAGTTTTTGTCAAACCTATTTCCCTAATTTGTGAGGGTCTGGTTAGACAACCCATCCCTATTCTTGACTGTCTTTTTATAGGTCTTCCCACATGTGCTGCCAGTTTAATGAATTCCTTGTGAGAGTGTCACAATTTTCTTGTCTTGGGGTTGCCTCAACGACACCCTCTGGTACCTCAGCCCGTTTTTATACTCCCTCTTTGACTCTGTTAATAGGTATAATTTCAGGCAAATGAGTTCTGGCACAGCTCTGGCGAAAGAGTAAACCAGATCAAACATATTAATTAATTATAGCACAACTCACAAACAAAACACCGTTATATTATATATATATATTATTATAAACATTGAGGTATGTAGAAAATTGGAATGACCCTGAAAACAAAGAATGCTAACCATGTAATGTAAAAACCAATACAAAACCTAAACAAATGACAGACCTTGCTTCCATATAAAAAAAATACAACCCAGCATTATATCTCCCTTCCTTCAACCTGGAGGCCCAAAAGTAAAAGGGAATCTATCTCTGTTTTCTAAAATCACCAACTTGTAGAGAACGTCTTTAGCCTGATGATTCCACAGTTAAGGAAATCGGAGTTTCGTAAAATAAAAGGAAGGCAAGCTGTCTTTAGTAAGGTTCAAATTACTTTTAAAACACCTGGGCTCCAAGACTGATCAGCACAAGGGCATCTTGCCTGGCATGAGCTTAGAAGAAGATAAGGTGCTTCTCCCTTCCTTCATCTCTCTCTTTTCTGTGCTGTGTTTTTGGATGATGAACACTCTTAATGATTTACCAAAAAGTTAATTAACTTGAGTAAACCTGAAAATTCCCTTTGATCCTGTGTTTACCTTTAACTGAGTTTAAGTTGCACCAAGGGGTATTTAGCCAGGGCACTGAAGATAACATCCCCACTCTTACAAACAGTACCTTGGGAATTAATCACCAAGCGATTAGGACCTAGGTTTAAGGTCTCATCTAAAAATAGCATCTATAGTGCCCCCAGTCACCACACTGCGGTATTGGCTTGGAAAGCATATACTGATCCACCAACAGTGGCAACCTGACATTCTAACATCTAGAGGTTCAGAATTCCAGTACTGAACATGCCCAGTCTTACTAAGATTATAAGATTATATGTGATCATGCTGCCAGACCATAACACTCATAAATGAAGGTAGCATAATGAAACATTTTGGTAGTTTGCTCCTGGAAAGCTGATGTAATGAGCTGATCCTCAAGATTTCATGCAGAATTAGTGTTTTTTTTTAACACTTCTTACACCCAGGCAAAGGTGTGAGGAATAAGACAGGCCCTGAGCTTAAAGAACATTGGTACACACAGTTTGGTGGTTGAGGCATTTCCCACTCATTACACAGGGAATCTTCACATACAGATAGATCACAAAAACAGTGCTGGCACTATAGTGGGCAACCACATCAGCCACCAATTCTGCTTCTTTTAAAGTCTGGCTACTCGGCTTCAGTGTATTAAGATTGATCTGATTTACTCCATTGGTTTTGCTACTTGTGTTCACTATGTTCCCCAACATAGTATTTACTTGTAATACTGATGTTATCATACAGACAAATAAAACCTTAAGATACTCTCAGTAAATTATTCATAGAAAAGAAGCACGTTTTCTAAGAAAATTTAATTGTTTTATCTATGACCAGTCCAAAATATTTGTTACCATTAACACACTCTGCAGTTTTACAAATTATTATAGTGGGAGACTAAATTATTCCTAAAGTCAATGATAAGTGAATTTGTTTTCAAAACATTTAAAACCAAAGAGAACTCATCACAGCATTCAACAAAATCATTTAGAATGGACCATTCATCATTCTAAAGCTATAGTTTCCCTACTGTTACCTGTTGAAACATAAAAAAATCAAAAGCTGTGTTATGTCCCAGTGTGTGGTCTGTGTGTGTTTTTTTTATGTTCCACACTGCTGACCCTTGATTGTTCTCCCTCCCCCATTGGCCAACCATCACACCACTGTTTCAGTATGATGTCATCATCAATTAGCACTCAGCCAATCAGAGTGCATCTTATTCAGCATATAACATGGAGGTTTTCTGAAACAAGAGGCCTTTTGTTTGACTTCGGCCCCATTTGGTTTTGGTTATTGCTTCGCTTCGCTTCGCTTCGCTTTTGGTTATTGCTTCGGCTTTGTTGTTTTGTTGGTTTTCTTTTAGTTTCTTTGTACTTTCACTTGTTTGTGTGTTTATCCTTGTTTTGCCTTTACCCTGCCCCTGATGTGTTACATGTTCAACCTTTGTGTTCTTTTGTACCCTGCTCCTGTTGATTTCTCTTGTTTTCCCTTATTTGTTTTCCTAGTTTACTTGTGTTTTTGTGTGAACTTTGGTGTATAAGGTTAGTTTAGGTTATTGGGTACACTTTACACACTTAGTTGATTCTGTATTAGTAACACTAGTTTACTACAAAATAACCAGTTTACTATTTAATCAGAAAATAAGAAAAAAACAACATTCTAAAACAAGACTTTGCTTGATTAAGATGTTTATAAACTGTACTGTATGTAACAAAGTGATGATTGCATCATCTACCCTTTCCCTATATGAAAACAGCAGGGAATCAGTAATGTTCTGTGTTTCCTTTATAATATGTTGCTTCAGTATTATCTCCAAACTTTTTGGTAGAAAGCAATGTGAGAACCACATTAACTCATGTGACCTGGCAGTTTTTGTGATGGGAATAATAACACATTTCCTCCACAGAGATTTAAAGAAATCTAAAAAAGCAGACAAAAAATATCATATTGATCCACACAAAAAGTAAGAACTCTGCCAGACACAGTATCTGGCATGCACTCTTCTTAACATTGACTCTCCTAAACTGCCTATGCACCTACTACATCTACCGTGTCATTCTTATTGACGTCCTCATATCCAGTAAAGTCAGTACTGTTATCTGCAGTTATATTCAAATTCAAAAAGGGTATAAAACACATTTAGGTCATTTACTAGATGTTGACTATACATGTCACTTAATACTTATTAAATATTAGTTATTCTCAGTCATTCTGAGAAATATTGGCCATGGATTTAATGCAAGGTATCAACCATGGTCATGATTATACTGTACAGTACTATTTTTGTACTGTACCGAACATTAGCTTTCCTTATTTCCTGATCTCCCTTTTCATAGCTTTCTGACACTTTTATGATACATTTTCTGTCATTTTTGTTTTGCAAAACTTTTCAAGACAAGTCTCCATGAAGCCTTTTGTACATAGGCTTATAGTCAGTGATGCTTACAGTACGTACAATATCATTTAAGATGCACTGACTAGGAATGTCGACTTTTTAGTTCTGCACTTACATTACATGTGTAGCTATACTAATGATTTCCATTGGGCGTGCTTACATTAGGGGTACACACCTTTGTGATTACTACCTATTATACCTGTCTTTTTTAGACATTTACAAAATCTTTGTGAATGAGCCTAGGGAGTTTTGTAGATCACACAATTTGTATTTTATTTTTGTAAATAGATAATAGTTTTAATGAGCACTGTGCATTTTCTTTCAGTTCTCATGAAGGATCGCTGCAAGCTGTTCTGCAGAGTTGCTGGAACAACTGCCTACTATCAACTGAAAGATCGCGTCATTGATGGAACCCAGTGTGGACCAGACACACATGACATCTGTGTACAAGGATTATGCAGGGTATTGATAAGGCCTCCTAATGCTATGAGCAATAAAATACTTTGTACTAATATAATAGAATCTTTTGCATTTCTCTGAATATCCAGCTTGAGTTAAATAATATCCTTTTAAAAAATAAAACATTTGGTTTCTCAAGTATTGCATTTGAAGAGATGAAAACACTCTTCTATACAAAAGTATTTTGGAGAAGTATTTATCTAATACCTTTGCTCATTCATGCATCAATTTCTTCTCTCACTTATAGCAAGCTGGATGTGACCATGTGTTGAACTCCAAAGCAAGGAGAGACAAATGTGGAGTGTGCGGTGGTGATAACTCATCATGCAAAACTTTAGCTGGGACCTTCAATAGTGCTCAATATGGTAAGCCTGATTATGACAAACTATAATAGATTTTTTTACATTTACCCTAAAACTGAAGATAAGTTAATAATATTAAATTACGAGAACACACGTATATTTTTCTTATATTACAATTTTTAAATATCTATAGATGCACATGAACAGTAAGCTAACATACATTGAACATACAGTACACCTATATTTTGTTCTGGAGGTTTTAAGATAAAATCATATATTCATGGTAATTGTATATGAAAAACTGAGCCTCACTTTAATGAAAATACAGATGCAGCCATTCAAAGTGCGCGGTACAGACACGTACCGGAGGTAATTGGCTACGGTGTCGCGCATTGTGACGCACGATGACGCGCGGTACGCGGTACGTGATTGGTTGACCGACAGGGGCACTCGTGGTCCGTTGGTCTGTCGTAGAAAGATTTACAGTAAAGGTCTTTACTGTGCCCGTTGTAGTAATGAATATTTATATGGAATTTTACCACTGAAGGGAAATCTTAGTAGCTGAGCATAAAAGAATAGGAGCATATGTCCGTTGCAGTTTTTTTTAAACTGAATCAGCGCTGAACTTGTTTGAATTGACTGAGTTCTGCACCACACAATGATCCCCCCATTGTTATAGAGAAACATGATAAGATTTTCCCCGGTTCAGAAAAAAAGATCTAAAATACTGTATACTTGTTTGTCACTCTTCTCATCCCCTCTTTGCTAAATGGCATTTGAATAGAGTCACATGAAGAGAGAGGTGAAACAGCCCTACACAGCCCTGTCGCAGTACACGAATATAATTATTTCTTATTAATTTCTTTAGATACACGATTCTTTTAATACAGTTTTTGCTGTGCTTTAGAGGACCCTTGTGATATTTCGAGCTCTGGTTGAATGATAAGTGTCACAGTTTAAATAATTTCCGTAGTTAGAAATTTAACAGAACGCTCTGTTAAAAGCAAGGGAGTTTTTATGTCCGTTGCAGTTTTTTTGCAACATGAATATAATTATATCGTTATTAATTTCTTTAGATACGCGATTCCATATTATATTCCCTTTTAATCAAATTCTAAAAGTATGCTTGTTGACTCCGGTATCACGTTAGTTAAAGACTTCGATGCTTAAAATGTTTAGGTAGAAATGGAATACTGGTGTGTATTTTTTCTTTAAAGTACCGAGACCAGCCATATACTGTATGTTTAAGTTCCAAAATTAATATCGTTTATGGCCTTCACACGCATTACAGTATGCTCCTATTCTTTTTATGCTCAGGTACTAAGATTTTCCTTCAGTGGTAAAATTCCATATAAATATTCAATACTTAAACGGGCACAGTTAAGACATTAAATATACATATACATACTGTATACAGTACAGTTTGCATATGTTAATATGTTTATGTTCCTAAATCAATCTCTTTTATGAGCATGTGAAAGGCATGGTGAATCACTTTACTTTGCATGATTGGAAACAAATGCGTGATTGCGAAATGCTGTGGTGTTACTTTTACAAAGACGGTCAATGAAAAAAATAATGTGGACCAGGGCAATACTTTGAGTTTACAGCTTGTCCAAGGTCATTTATTATTAATACTATTAGTAATATCTTCGTTAAAAATTTTGATGGCAACAGCTCAAACATGAGAGGTTGAGCTTTATTAGCTCCACCTTGCGCAATTCCAGATATTATTATTTTGCTTGCGGTATTATAGGAGAATTTACGGTAACTAGCGGTATTTACCGGTAACTCGTGGTAGACTGCATAAAGCGCACCGGAAAATAATGTGGTATCGCCCGCGCATTTTGAATGGCTGCATCTGTAATGACATGTACTTAAAACCACTTGTATGCACTGTGATCTGTGTCCCTTTAGTACATACATGTTGGGAAAGTCAGGGGTTGTGCTCTATTTGTCCCGGGCCTATGTGTTTCTTGAGTAAAGCCCAGAACCATCCCAGCCCCACATACCAATTGAAACATTAGCTTTACTCTTAAATGTCATGAACACATGCCTGTAGCAAAACAACAGCTCAATGTTTTAGAGTAGTTCTGCACACATATTAATTTATGGCTTCTCTTCTCCAAAGTACACTTTACATTTGTAGGTGTTAGCTGTTACAACTATCATGTGCTGTAAAAAAGCTGTTGGAATTAATGGAATACAAACTAATGTAGTTTTTACTAGGCAAACACACTAGTGAGGGACCGTGTTAGCCTTCACTGCTTTGGTCTCTTTCCTTCTCACTTTTGATCAAATCAAAGTATTTTAGCAGATTTTGTTTTTGTGGAGCAAACCACATTTTTGGAAGAGTAACCAGATAAGGCAAGCAGTTACATTTTACTAACAGTGCAAATAAATTGTCAGGTCCTTTGTAAATGATTAGGTGTGCCCCTGAGGCTTAAATGTAAATTGCTTCACTAATCCAGTTATTTTGCAGCAACTGCAAAGTATCTCTTTTTCCCATTTGAGGTAGCCTCTAAAATCCCTGAATGCCAAGCTTGATTGAAACAAGATCTTAAGAGTCTTTTAGGAAGTAACTCTCAAAGACTATTGTGTTATTATTTGTGGTTGTGGTAAATGATGTGTGTGGTCATTGAAAAGAATTGTGTGGTCATTGACAAGAACTGGAGTTTGAAATCCTTCTGGAGCCTAAGTGTATAATGTGGGTGATTATTGCTGTGGCTTTATAGTTCACTTATTACATGTACTTATGTACTTATACTGTTAGTTGAAAGCATTTGACATTGTATTTATAAAGTCCTTTACTAGGCTTTCAAATTTGGTTAATTACCTATGTTATCAATTGTTACTTGAGTAGTAGGGAAAAGAGGGACTTTTCATGATATTTAGTTTACATTTAGGAGTATTAGAAAGGAATGTGGGAGCACAAGAAAACTTAAGCTGTACCTGTTTGTTCTGAAAGGTTATAACACTGTGAAGAATATTGACAAAGTAAAGTTTTTCTTCGAGGTGTGTGTTTTTTTTTCCACAAAACAATCTAGCATTTTCCTCTGGCATAACAAAAGTCTGGAAGTCTGGAATTCTGAACAGCTGTTGCAATTTGTTAAGATACTTGCTTAATGCGAGGTTCTTTTCTCATTGTTTTTTCTGCTTCCAGTGTCACCCTGCTATTAGTGGAGTTACTAAATAAAGTGTTAGCTAAGTTAAACATAAAAACCTGTTGTGAAATTTAATCTAGTCATGTTTGCTGCAATTAAAATTCTTGTCCGTCTTGTTAAAACAGCTTAGGTTGTAATGCATCTATTTTCAGATGTATGAGTAAAAGCTAAAACAATTATATGTAATGACTTCAAAGGCTGACTCTACGGCAGCATTTTAAAAATCTTTGCTGACTTGCAAATGGAGCCACCCACCTGATGTAAAAATGAGATCTTAGAAAAAAATTGATTTTACATTTTTTATTCGATTCACGGTGTGCATGAGACATAACCTTTACAGATGCTGCCCCCGAGTGGTGGAATTCGTTTAATATCTTTACTCTTGAGCAGTCCATTAAGGATATTTTTTATTTACATTTTTAATATAATTTAAAGATCTTAGATTTGTTTAGTCTAATGCTTGTCTTTGTGATTACAGTTATTACCAGTTTACTTCTCGTCCTATGTTTTAATTCTTATATTGTTCTATCTTGGAACATGCATCAACGTAAAGTAATCAGTTACTTGACAGTTTAATTCTGAATACTCCTTAGGTTGTTAAGCAAGTAATGCATATTATCTGTACAATACCTGTAAAACTGCATTTAAGACATCTTTAATCATAACAAATACATATTAGCACATTTTTTTTAATGTACTTTTATTCAATGTCCATTTTAGGTTATAATGTGGTTGTACATATTCCAGCGGGAGCAACTAATATCGATATAAGACAGCACAGCTACTCTGGTAAGCCAGAGGATGACAACTACCTCGGTAAGTGTTGCTTACAAAATAAGAGACATTACCTTTTTTGCAATCTATTTCACCTGGCATATTGACATTTATTGGTATTTTAATGTAACCTTGATACAATTTCACAATATAAATATCTCTAGTGATTATTGTTACTAAAAGAAGAAAAGAAAATTATATTAACATTAACATTATATTTACAAACCTTGACACGCAGGCTTGACCCTGTGCTCTGACCCTAAGCTTCACTCTCCCAGTCTATGTTCCTGTGTGTCTCATTGAGAGCAAGCTGGGGTATGCAAAAAGACAAATTCCTAATGCAAGAAATTGTATATGGCTAATAAAGTGATATTATCTTATCTGTTCATATTTATATAAAACAGTTTTCAATAAAAATATGATCACAGAGCACACTTGCTTGTGATTATTCTTTTAGAATTAGTTCATGAATGACCCATCTAGGTGGTTTGGAATGTCTTCCAACATTACATATTCTTTCATCTAAAACTTCCTTTCATTGTTTTAATATGGTAGCAGTCATGTCTGTTTTTATTTATCTAAGGTATTACATTACATTTAGTAATACGTTAACCAGGTTTTCTCTGGTACAGTAAACTATTTAGAAATTAGGATTTTGTCAGTATGACTTCATTAATATAAACTGTAATGCATATAGCATTTCGGGGAAACAAAGCATATACAATTATATAGCTCCTGAAACCATATTATTATATGTATGTATGGTTTCATCTCTTAAAATAACAAGTAAACAGCGTTTACCAAGAATAAAATGGTACATTACAGAATACTTTGAATTAATTAAAACAATCAACCCACTTACTCAATCACAAAATATAATGTTATACTTCTAAATAATTTTCTAATTGATATATTATTTCACATTTCATATCTACCAAATAGAATCATCTACCTGATATCAGTTTTGGGTCTTGTAATGAGTGAATGAGTGGGTAGAAATTGATTTCTTCTGAGCTCAAACCCCTTTATAACTTTAAAGAATACATTTAGAACAATATCTTCTTATTTATTATAGTAACAACCAAATTATTATTTTTTGTCCGTTATGGTTTTAAATTGCACAATGCCATATGAAGACAGATACAATTTTTGTTGCGTTGTTTTGTTATTTAAATGTGTGATTTTCACAGTCCACATAGTTCAGTGCTAGATGAAGGAGACTGAATGAGACCAAGATCTGTGTGGTTATGAGAAAACAAATAGGTTAGATAAGCAAACCAAGTGTCACTTGCTAAGAAAGATGAATGAGTCTAAAATAGGTGATAATTAGAGACATGTGTTCCTGACAGAGATGAAAGGGGACAAGGGCCAAATAAGATGTGTGATGATAAACACCCTGGTGTGGAAATTTGTAAGCAGTGGCAATTGAACACATAATGTTCGCTTTTTGCTCTAAAGGTCTTGCTTTGCACTATAAATAAGCTTAGGACATTTTATTTTTTAAACACATTTAAAATAAACTTTGCCACTGCATGAATTATGCTTTCATAATAAAATACCATTTGGGGTTTGGGTCTTAAAAGTACATTTTTAAACAATTCACAGTTAAAGATGGTAATGACTTTCTAGTATTGAACATTTTGTATTAAAAGCACTGTTTTTAACTGTAGCTTTATAAGGTAGTATCTGAAAAAGCATGTTGTAGAAACTGTTTTCCTATTCCAAATCTTTTGTTTAATTTACATTTAAATTTAACCAATCTTTTAACAGTATAGTATTTTGAAGGAACAGTTAGTGTTCATGTCTGACTGACCTAATACATCAGCAGAAAATGACACAATGACAGTGGTATTTCAAAGTCCATGCCATTTTCTCCCATAATGGTTTGTTTTTCAACATTCCCAACCCTTAGTGTAGTGAAGGCCCATCAGAGGCATTATATTCCCTACTACACCAATAGGTAAGAATCCTAAAAAAACAAATTAAATAATTGTGTATAAATGACAATGATAAAAACTCCATATTATAAAACCAAGATACCGAAATATTTGTATGTACTTACACTTTTTTTGTTTGTGTCTTTTTTAACAGCATTATCTGATAGCCAGTCCAATTTCATTTTAAACGGTAACTTTGTGGTGGCCATGTTTAAAAGGGAAATCACTTTTCAGGGAACTGTTGTTGAGTACAGTGGATCGGACACCAACGTGGAGCGTATTAACTGCACTGACAAAATTGAAGGAGAACTTGTTCTACAGGCAAGAACTCTTTTCCACTTCTTGCCAAGTAAACCTTGAACATTAACCATTAGTTTCCACTCCCTGCACTAAGGTGCATTTTACTTTCTTTCAGATGTTTTATGTTAAATAAGTTTGTTTCCTTGTGTTCTGCTCATGTTTATAGAACACATCTAAAGAAGAAGCTACTTTTTCTGTGGAAGACTGTTTACATTCCCCAAAAGCAATTTCAACTATTAGGATGCCTATCTGTCTTGCTTGTCTTGACTGATCATCCAGAATAGTTAAACCAAAGACAAAGGGTAGCAGATGTTGTCACAGAGATAGAGCAGATAGTATAATGAGGAAGTGCTTTTTTATTAGCATTTCTCATTAAAAATACAATCTACAACTTGATTAATGTATGACTGTTTCTTTTCTTTGACATTTTCTGTGTGGGAAAATTATTTTTATTTATTTTTTCCTTCAACATTTTTTTCTTAGCTTTTCTAATCCCTTTGTTGTTATGGTTGTATGGGGAGCATTATTTCACTTCTGACATGGAAGGAGTCTAAGTAAATAATTGAATTTATGATTACTGACAAGAACAATAACATTTTTATATGGACCATTTATGCATAATGCTTCCACAGATGTTATGATATAGACAGTAGGCTAGGTTTATAAAAGTAAATTAAAATAAAAAATAGGAAAAAGTTTTAAGTGCATAATGAACTTCTTTCTTTATAATTAGGTCTTGTGTGTTGGAAATTTATACAACCCTGATGTCCGTTACTCCTTTAACATTCCCATTGAGGACCGCAAAGAACAGTTTGTCTGGGATCCCTATGGATCATGGCAAGAATGCAACAGAATTTGTCAAGGTAAACAAATTTAGAGAGTATTTATACTGTTTGGGGTATTTATACCATTGAAAGATATAATAATAATAATAATAATAATAATAATAGTTGCTTACACTTATATAGTGCTTTTCTGGACACTCCACTCAAAGCGCTTTACTGGTCTTGGGGACTCCCCTCCACCACCACCAATGTGCAGCATCCACCTGGATGATGTTATTAGTGGGGAGGAGAACAGAGTAATGAAGCCAATTCATAGATGGGAATTATTAGGAGGCCATGATTGGTAAGGGCCAATGGAAAATTTTGGCCAGGACCACAGAGTAACACCCCTACACCCCTCGTTTTCGAGAAGCGCCCTGGGATTTTTAATGACCACAGAGAGTCAGGACCTCGGTTTTACAGCTCATCCGAAGGATGGTGCCTTTCTATTTTTATAGTATAGTGTCCCGGTAACTATACTGGGGCATTAGGACCCACACAGACCACGGGGTGAGCACCCCTTGCTGGCCCCATTAACAGCTCTTCCAGCAGCAACCTTAGTTTTGCTCAGGAGGTCTCCCATCTAGGTACTGACAAGGCTCACACCTGCTTTGCTTCAGTGAGTTGCAGGGTGATATGACTGCTGGCATATATCCTACAGTATGAACAAAACTCCACATTAATAGTTTTTAAAAGTTTGCATTGGTGACTTGTTGAGTTAATTTTAGTATGTTCAAGTGTAAAATACTTTTTATGTATTTTGAAAGATGACATATTCCACATTCTTTGCCTGTAAATATGAATTTGACATTATAACAGTCAGTATTACAGTAGTCATTAAGGATGTTTCTCAGTGTAAAAATAATTCAACACATGATGATGATTTTCGTATAATGAAAGCTTCTGTCTAATCCAATGTGTTAAACACTAAACAGTATCCTGACTATTGGCTATGAATGTGAACAAAATATTATATTGAGGTCCTTGTGTACCATTAAATATTTCCTGTACAGCACATTACAGCAATACTAATATAAAACCATTTTTAGTCTAACCTGTAGCATGTGGTGTTCTTGCATTCAGTACATATGAGCATGGGATAGTAATGAGAAGCACTTGCTACTTAATGCGGTGAGAACGTTTCTTCATCGTAATTCTATACTTACTGGTTTCCTAACCAGTAGCATATTACACATACAGTACTGTACATGTACAGTACGTTATTAACCAGCAGATGTGTGATTGATTTAACTATTATTACCCTTTAAGAAATTACAATGAAGAAGCGTTCTCACCGCATTTATTAGAAAGTGGTTCTCATCACTGTCCCATGCTCATATGTACTGAATGCAAGATATTATAAATATAAAAATAAGAGCATTAAAATGCCAGTGGATGGTTTACTTTTTTATGTATCAAACATTGGTGCATTCTTCTGCTCCGATTCTGAAGGTATCTCTTGAAAAGCTAGTAGTGGTCTTCATTTCACTTACAATGCAAACTCAGTATCCTTTGTATTGTTCAAACATGAGAGGGAGCTTCCCTTCTGATCCAGGAACGCCACATGCTGCAACAGTAAGTTTACTGGAGTGCAACTAAGTCACAAGGTTCAGTCTTTGCTGAGGTTACAACACCAAGGCAGTTAGAAATCCAAGGTTTTTGGTTGAATTTTGCTGGCTCACAAATCATAGTTACGATTTGGGTGAAAATAGTGGTTTTGTTTAATATGTTCTCTGAAGTAGAAATAGGTTCCCCCAAAATATGCAGATCGAGTTCTGTCTAGTTTAAGATGTTTTAGAAACCAGAAAAGGGCAGACAGTTGTATTAAGTATAAAACAATGTAAAGGTGAACTGTGGTAGTCCTACATGTTAATTTTCAGACTCAGTTTTGCATTTTCTATTTCAAGGTGAGCGAAAGCGCAAAGCTGCATGTGTGCGGAAGAGCGATCACCTGGTGGTATCCGATCAGCGTTGTGAACATTTGCCTCTCCCAAATATTGCTTCTGAGCCCTGTAACACTGACTGTGAATTAAGGTAAATCAAAGGGTTCCTGACTCAGCTTGTAACTAAACAATGAAAAAATATATCAATGAAAATAATTTTTGATTTACAAATGCACACTTTTGTTTTTAATATGATTTATATGTCCTTGTTACCAACTAACATGGGTGCAGAATGAAGGAAGAACTACTGTAATTGACAGACACATTTCTACATCAGTTTTACAAATGGCATTTCTTAATTGAAAAAGAATGTGAAAGCAAATGTGTTATAAAAAATAGTGGACTGTACTTATGTCTTTGGTTTGAACTGGGTTACAATTCACTCCTCAAGTGTTTTTCAAATTTCACTTCCCAACTTGAAGAACGTTTTCCCACGATGCTTCAGTTTGTTGCTTTTACTTTCTGCATGCATTTATATAATTTGACTGTTATCCTTCCGTTTGCTTTAAGCATTGTCTAATGATTCTCATTTATATTCATTGACAATATTCCAAGTTTTGTATTTAATTAGGAGGTTCTGAGTTCCTTTAGCTTTTAGAGGTAGTCATATTTTTCACAACCAATGAAAATCACCTTTATACATTCTTTAGATGACTGATAAAATAATCTGTGATACAAGTATGATGTAAAGGATCTTAAATATCCTTGTAAGAGTATGACAGATTTTACCACAGCTTTTTTGAGTTTGCAGACATACTCAAAGGAAGGTTTACTGGGCATACAGTGCCCAGAAAAAGTTGAACCATTCTATATTCTCATGCAGCAGTTAAATCTTCATGAAAGCAATGATTGTGACAAGACTTTTCCTGTAATTGTTTATCAGTCTCTTGCATCAGAGTTTATGAATTTTGGCCTATTCTCTTTTTCACAACTGCTTCAGGCTGATAATATTTGAGGGCTATTTCCTTGCTGTCTTCCCTTTAAAATCATTCACAGTCTTTTCCTGATAGTTGAGACTATAATATGACATATGAAATTTGCCATAATTAGACTGGATTACAAAATCCTCAGATATTACTTTGTGCTTCTTTGTGACTTCCTGGTGTTTTACGGGTTGCTCTTGGTAAGGTCTCTGGGGCGGTGCGGTGGCTCTGTGGTTAAGGATGTTTGCCCGTTTGTATCCCGTGGCTCGCAGAGGAATCCTACTCCATTTGGCCCCTGAGCAAGGCCCTTAATCCCAATTGCTCCAGGGGTGCCATATAAATGGCTGACCCTGTGCTCTGACCCCAAGCTTCTCTCCCTGTCTCTATGTCTCATGGAGAGCAAGTTTTATCTGAAAAGACAAATTCCTAATACAAGAAATTGTGTGATCTTAGAAGGATTGCTAGTCTTGGGTAGAGACATCATGGTTTTGTATATTTTTATTTGAGGACTTGATAAAAGTCTTTTCAGAAATGGTTTTGTAACTCTTTCCAGCCTGATGAGCATACACCACTCTTTTCTGCAGTTCTCTGAAATCTTTGCTTGACATGTTTCCACTAACCCTGTAAGGTGAAGATCATAATAACATATTTTCTGGCCAGAAGGTATAACTTGGTCTTTGTTTAGGTGTTATCCAATTATTTAACCACCTGATTCAAATTGTCCCCTTACATGTTATTGGTGGTTAATTATGTTTAAGGTGGTTAAATATTTAATAAGTAAAACTGGATATCAATTATTTGTTCACACATTTTAATTATTTTTTCTTCTACTTCATATGTCATTGTGTTTAATAAACACTGATTTGGGAAATGCTTTGATTATTTAAGAAAAGGCTAGCTTAATTTTAAACAAAAATATTTTTGTAAGACATTGTGATTCCAAAAATTGTATTGGATGTTCACATTTTCTATACACTGTAGATTGCATGTCTCTCATTTATTTCAGAGAAAGAATATTCTCATCTACTGTAACCAAATAAAATCTCCCCTGCAAGTTCTACTTGTAAATATTTTCTATTTTACATTGTTTCAGGTTATTATGGATATTATTCCCATTATTGCTTCTTTCAGTGTTTTCAGCAAATAAAATACAAACAGACACCTTTGCCTTTTCAAGACTATTTTGCAAACATCTGAATTTGGTGAACTAGAAACAGATTGCTCTGCTCAGTTTTATCTGCTGGCTAAGTTGTGATATGAGTAAATGTTTCCTTAGCTTTGAAAAAAGGAAACACTCACTCAAAAGAAACAAACAGAAAATCAACATTACAGTCTCCCATTGTATTGCATGACCAAAAACACTATTGGCTGTTTCAAATGGTCTTTTATCCTGATTTATTCTTCTATTTTCCTTTGTTTTATTTTATCCATATGTTCTGACTTATTTGACACTCATCAACTTTTAATTTGTCCTGAATTGTCATGTGTATGTATTCTGTTTTTCAGTCAAATCATTCCCAAGTTCTTTCAAGGACCCATCTGTAGGTCATTGATCTTTTGTAATACAGTGAAGAATGATGATTGTTTTTTTTAGATAATTTCCTCAACATCTTGCTAGAAGTTGTAAAATAAACATATTTTTCCCTTAATATTTATTTAAAAAGCCATTCTGACATTTGGCATTTCTTTTTTGTTATTTTGGTATGCCATTGTTTTGTATTAACTGCATTCACAGCAACTGCTGCATGCCTTTATTAACAATACCTTTGCCTGTCATTTCATGATTTCACTACACTGTATGGTACATGAAATACAGTAGTTATCATCACAATATGACATAAACTGTTTATTCATTACAATGAAAACTCTTTTTTTGCATTGTGGTACTTTTTCTTTCTTTATAGAGAAATACAATTCTAAAGTGATTTTTAAAAAATATATAATTATTTGGGTTTACCTGCTAACTCTAATGGAGTTTTATACAAAAATAACCTTTTTGCTTTAAGGGTGGAGATAGGAACAAATTATGTCAATGATGAGCAAAGCCAAACATTTGGTTATGTTAGTTTGTTTGGTAAATGTAATCGTTTTGCTACTACAATATTTAATATTGACTGCTCATATACTTCATACTTCAATCTTACATTGAACTTAACAGAAAGCTAAAGTAGGTGATGAATGGGCATGCATTTTAATTTTACTTGGGATCCAAGCATGTGAGGTGAATATGCTGTACCCTTGAACGTGGCACAAGTACCAGTAGAAAGTTTAAGGCATATACAATATGCATGCTTAACCTAGTAGTTGAGCTAACTTCAGCAAAGTACAGGATGTGATTCATTTGAGGTGAGGGAAAAAATGTAAATCGTTATATTTTTAAAATTTGTTCTTCGAGACTGTGGCACGCATAACCTCTCCCTGGTTTGGATTTAACTGTATAATATCTTAGGGTTTTTTCCAGTTCCGAGCCTAACAGTGCCCTCCAGCAGAAATGAATTCCGCTATGTAAAAAGGGCAGCTTCTTGCTGTTAAAGCATAAAACGCTACTGGAAGTTCTTGGAGTTTGCTTAACCATAGCAGGGTCATCCCACAATGAGAACTTTTATACTCCACGACTAAATTATTAGGGCCACAGCCTCCAACAGTTGTGAACTATGCTATGCCCAAAGGCCAAACTTCCACTGTGACAGAATTCAACACTCAGGAGTCCTGGGAGGTTTTGTCACCAGAACAGTCTCATCATAAAAAGGAACTTCAGCGAATAGCAACTACCGTATACCCTAGCTATATTGTTGCTGATATTTGCTTGTTCTGGAGACAATGAGAAGTCTTCGTCTGTCATTTACAGATTGTCCTGGGTATGTTTTTTATTTCTAGATGGCATGTGGCTGGAAAGAGTGAATGTTCAGCTAAATGTGGTCCAGGCTATAGAACTCTGGACGTCTACTGCATGAAGTACAGCAGATTAAAGACACAGAGCGACCGAGTTGAAAGCAGGTTCTGCAGTGACCAGCCAAAGCCCCAAGTCAGAGAGACCTGCCATGGAGACTGCCTTTTAAAAAGCTGGCACTATTCCTCCTGGTCAGAGGTGAGAGTGCAGCTGTTGTTCATGGATATGATAAGTTAAATGATAATAAATTGAATAGTGGGCAACAGGATCTAAGTTGTTTTCTGATGTTGTTATGCTTTAGAGATGTTGTGAGGTTAAAGGATGAGTGTCTTCAAGAACCTAGAAAATCTCAACATCCTGAAACTGCATCCAGCTTGAGCTGTCATAGAGATCCAATGCAATCTGTGCATTAAGTCATTTCTATTATAAAACAATGTTTTAAGTATTTTAAATGAAAAAATATTGGTATCATTGTGCAATACAAATTAGTATTTCATAGCTTTGTCAATGACCTCACAATATCCCATGGTTTGGAATTGCATGCCTTCTTATTATTCATAAAAGTATCACTACCACTTGGGTGTGTTTGTCCTCTGGGATGTACTAAAATGAGCTGTATCCCTCTGCTTATTGGCTTTACTGTCAGTTTTCTTTTCATTAAAAACACATCTGTGCAAATTGCATCAGTGTTTTTAAATTAGAACAGTACAAAACTGTAATACAAATAACACATTCAATGGCATATGTTATCAATAAATATCATCACTTCTTGGACATGCTTTTTAGTCACATATATGAATGGATAAATAGTCATGGTTTTACCTTATATGCTAATTTGTTTGCCTACCAATGTGGATCATTAGCAGGAAAAAAAGAACAATGTTCTTTGTTATAATAAGATTGAATACCAATATAGAGTTAGCTAACTAGATCCAGCTACTTGGCTGTGGTGGTCTTTTGTTTGCTGAAAGAACATCTTTTTTACAGTAACTATGAACATTGTGCTTATTTCAACCTCATGAATGCAACTTCAGTACTTATGCCTTTTTTTTACAATAAGTAAGAACACTGTGTTGATTGTCAGTGCTCAAAGACATGTGGAAGGGGTACCAGATCCAGGGATTCATATTGCATGAACAACCTGGGTCGGCGTCTTGTTGACAGAGAGTGTCATGAAAACCAGAGAGTGGTGACAGAGATCTGTAATGATGTCTCCTGTCCAGAGTGGGCATCTAGTGAATGGAGTGAGGTAAGATGTTATTGGTTAAACTTGTTAAAGTCTGCTTTTCTGCAGCTTTAAATGCATACGCTTTAACAGCAAAAAGTAAAGTAAAAGTTTCTTAGGTACAAAATGTCAACAATTTTTAAATGTTTTAGTATAGCACTATTGCAACCCACACTTAAATTGTGTTATTTTAGTGATTTCAGAGTAATATAAAAAGCATTTTCTCTGGCTCATTCAGAAGTTAACAGAAAAAAGCAGATGATAAAGTCTCACAGTTGAAGAAAGTAGGGTTGAGAAACAAATAGGTGTTCCACAATTCTTTGAATATCTTAAAGCACTTTTGGGAATAAAATTGATTTATTAAATTGGATGTACCAATTCCCTGAAGTTTGAGTCATGTAGATTTTATTGTCTTAAAAGTTTAGATATTTTATTACACATCAAAAGCACTGGGCTGCAGAGCTTTATCAGCTATACAGTATACTGTATTTTGGTTTATGCTCAGTCTTCATTAACATACTTTTGTTCACACTATGAAGACATTCATTATGAAGAAGGGAGTGCATTCAGCTCCAGTGTCCCCATGCTCTTACAGTTTATATTTTTCTTTCTGTGCATGCGCTCAGTGCCTTGTAACATGTGGGAAGGGGACAAGACATCGGCAGGTCTGGTGTCAACTTAATGAAGAACGAATGAGTGATAATTTCTGTAACCCGAACACCAAGCCTCAAGCAGTAGGAGCCTGTGAGCTTCCTGAGTGTGCCTCCTGGCAGGTTGGCGTCTGGGGAATGGTGAGTCCATAAGCAATCATTGTCTGCATATTAGAGCACCTAGAGTAACATGGGTCATTTGAGATGGAAGGCCTGGCTGATAGCATCTAACAACACTTCAGACGCTAATACAGTATGTTGTATTTTAAGTCTTTGTGAGTTAAGTCCAGAGTTTAGCAATAAATAGAAGCATACCTAAGGTGTATATTATCTTATCACCCTAAGAAACAGTTATACAAACAATGGAATTATGTTTTATTGAGATAGAGGACCATTTTTAATGAGTATGAATAGTACTTTTTATTAAAAGGTTATATATTTATTAAATATATTTATTTAATGAAATGTTACAAATACATTTGTTGATAAACTGTAGAACATATACTTTCAAAACTATTTAGATTAGTGAATTAAAAATACTCAAGGACTATACAGTATTTAATAAAATGACTCTAGGTTTGTGGTTTATGATAAGGTTAAAACACTTCATAAAATATTTCATAAAGCATCTTCACCTCACGTGCATGAATACCATGTGCAAAATGGTGCTAAACCATTGTTTTTGTATCCTGTTAAAAATAATTTTGAATTTACTTAACTCAGTTAACATTAATGATTAACATTCTTTTAAGCAATTAGCTGTGTGTGCATTAAAAAATGGAAGTTTTCTGTATTGTAGTGTGCTGTGACCTGTGGCCATGGCTATCAGATGCGGGCTGTAAGGTGTGTAGCAGGGACATATGGGGAAACTTTAGATGACCGAGAGTGCAATGCAGCTGCTAGACCAAGAGACAGTCAGGTAAATGTTATGTTTAATATTCAAATTTCTTTGTTTCTATATAGTTTAACATCAAATCTGTGTTAATTTGAAAGCAAGTCTGCTTAAATTTACTGCCACAGAACCAAACAAAATATAATTCAGCCTTATAAAATTAATATAATTGGTGTTATTGGAATTACATGTGAATGATATAGTGTGGTGAAAGATAAATGGTCATTAAATGTGCTGTGAAGATGAAAAGGAATCACACTTTAATACATAAATAAATTATAGAAGCAGATTCAGTCCCTACTTCAACTTAGTATCAGGTAACAGGCCAGAGCTTCTTCTGGTTTCTGTATCTTTAAGCAGACTAAGAGTACTTGACTATGTTCACCTTGGGATGCTACACTAATAGGATGCATCTAACATTGCTGATTACCATTTATACAGCTTGGCAGGCTGGGGCAATCAGTATAAAAGTGTAGCACTATAAAACAACAGCAGTGTCTGCGGTGGAGACTTTAACCCACAGTTAGTTAATCCAGAGCCCCAGCTACTACTCTGAAAATAAGTCATAGACAGAGGTATGGACAAATAGTCCAAACAAACTGAGGCTGGTTAAGTTAATCAAAGGCATTTGTCATTAGGCTTTTTTAAAAACAGGGTCATGATTGGTATTTGTTTAGTTTTCCAGTTTTTCTTCTGACTAGTTCATAGTAATTGCTGACTTACAATTTCAGCAGATTGAGTGTAAGGTACTGAGGCAGAGGTCTCTTGCTCTTATGTGAACAGGAATGTGAGATGCCTGCTTGCCCTGAGTCCCCTGCAGCATTCAGCACAGTCCACACTATTGTTCAGAGGGAATTCATGACACAGTGGAGATATGGCTCCTGGACTCCTGTAAGTATCAAATACAATTCAGAAATGACCAAAGTTGATTATAGTTCTTGACTGTCTTTAATACTTTTAGTGTACTTACTGTTTTTAAAAATAATCACAATGACAAGATTTTATGATCTCCTGAAAATACAATAAGGAGGGGCTTCAATCTGTATTTTATCTGCAAAAATGGAAAATCAGTCTGCCAAAGTAAATTGGAATAATACTGTACAACCAGAGTGTGTGTAGTGTCTTCATGATTGGCTAAATAATCAACTCCTTTGACTATAATATAATGGATTTAAGTATTTAAGCTACTCAAATTATACAATACCACAGACCTCATGCAGTTATTGCCTTAAATGAATATGTAATCAAATACTGAAATCTGAAATTTACTTCAGGTGAATTATACTGATCCAGTACTTATGGGCACTTGAAATGTCTTAGTTGAAAACAAATGATGTTTATATTCTCACAATTCGCATTCATTCCGTTAAGGTATATTATACCAACTTTTATTCAGGGAACAAAGAACCTTTTAGAACCTTTGACATGAGGACAATAATAATGGCTGAAGACCCCATAAACCATGTTACATCTCTTTGAGCTTTAGGTGTTTTAACAGCAATATAAGTACAAAAAGGTTATTAAAGACAATTGGATTAGAGAATTCAAAGTAAATGATTAAAGGACCTTTGTACATAGCCAATACTATGGGTTTTGGTCTTATACAGAAAATTATTTCAATTATTCTTCATAGTATATCAGAGAAGGTATTGTCTACAAAACCTTTTATTACTGATAAAGGGAAATTCCAGGAGAAGACCTTTGAAATGAACAGGGACTGAATAGTAGCTATAGTTTACCTGACCTTACTTTGTAGAATTATCAGTTTTGGAATTCCTGTTATTACTGCCACAGAACTGATGGGGCCCTTCTTATTTGTTAATTGACTGTGTAAATGGCTTTTCCAAAGTTAATATAAACATATTCTCCTTTTATCTAAAACAAACAGATACTGAGAATTTCTGCTATAGATCTTCATAACAATGCAGGAACCTTTTATGTTATGTGGACTATTCCATGTTTTAAAACACAATAAGAGGGAAATACGTTATATAAATAAACTGATTTTCTTATATTTTGTGGTTTTAATGCAGAAGTGGTTTGATTAAAAATGTTTGAAACTGGTATAATCTCTGAACCTAACATGTTGTACCTATTAAGTGTAAATCGGGTTGGTGTGAAACATATTTAGAAAAAATGTAAGCAAAGCAAACTAGGAGAAAAATAGAATGACTTAGATGACAACAGTGAATATGGATTTTAACGGTTCCCTATAAATGGGAGTGATGGCAACTAAGTAAAAATCATCTGACATAATGTATTTTTACTTTCCCTCCATCCATCTATTTTCTAAGCACTTAATCCAACTCAGGGTCATGGGTGAGCCAAAGTCTATCCCAGCAAACTAAGCAGGGTACACCCTGGACAGGATGCCAGTTCATTGCAAGGCACACAGAGACATAAACGTGCACACACACACACCAGGGCCAGTTATCCCAGAAGCTAATTCAGTTACCAGTATGTCTTTGGACAGAACACATGCAGGAAATTCCTGCGAGGGAGAACATACACATTCTATCCAGATAGTGCCCCAGAAATTGAACGAGGGCCCCAGCGCTGCGAAACTCTCCCTTACTTTCTTTGGTTACAACTGATACCACTCCAATGAATAGTAGCACAACAGGGCTGCTTTGAATAATTAATGTAATGTACAGTAGCATTTGTGACTTCACTCTGTAAACAGAATTCAATTGCTGTCTGTCCAGCCATGGAGACCCAGTAAGTTTGGAATGCCCTTCAGGTTCTAGAGGATTACATGTAGCTTTATAACCGGCTCATAATGCTTTCAGTGATCCCTGTGGCATAAACAATATAGCACATCTTTAAGACTGATGAACTACAAACTCATGAAGAAATGTTACATTATTAAAGTATTTCAATGCATTTAATTTAATCAGATTTTTTATTTAGGATTACACTTTTGGGATTATACTGTTTGTGACGATTACTCTACAGTATGTGTTGATCAGATCAACAACCTAGGGTAATCAATTCTAAACTGTAACAAACTCTGTCTGTCCTAGATTGACTCAGCTATCTCTGGACTCACAGATAGAACAATTGAGAAGCACAATTATCCCTGACTATGAGGGATGCCAGAAGAGATGTCTATCAATTCATATCTTTGCTAAACCTTTGGTTGGGCTAAGTGTGAGAGGTCTGAGTCCTAAAAGTCCATAGGTGTTTGTATGATTTTCAGTATAAACATTATCCTGTAATATTACTGTACTTTATAATATAAAGTAGTGATGCGAGGCTTAAGCCTGGATCCAGATGTAGGCAAGGGTAAGTGGTCAGCCAAGCGAGAAGCACACAGCAGGAGGTGAGTTGCAGTGATTCAGAGAGAAGCAGGTGAAAACAAAACAAATGCCAGAACCATTATCTAAAGGTAGACAACAGGTCAAAACTGCAGGGTACTGTCAAAAGTATAAAAGGATGATCAATAGACCAAACCTAGTAAGTTCAAGCAAGTCCAAGGCCTGGGAAACACCCCAAGCAAAGCAGGGAAATTCAGGAATCATACTTCAAATAAACACGGTCGGAGCACAGAGGTGAGTACAATGAGAACACCAAGACAAACTATGACAGAGCATCACACAGGCAGACATAAAATAGCCCCGAGCTAAACACGTGTCAGCAGGACAGATCTTCCACCACAGCAGGTGGTAATAGGTTGATTAGTGTGTCCACCTGCAGCGCAAGGGTTGCAATGCCGAGGGCTTTGATTCGAACAGGTATGAGAATTTGGATGTGTTTGTGTCACAGTGCTCTGTCACGTGCGGGAAGGGGAAGCAGGCTCGCTATGTCAGCTGCAGAGATAGCCAAGGCGGAGTAGCAGATGAGTCGTACTGCGCACACTTACCTCGCCCCCCAGAAACCACCGGCTGCTTTATTCCTTGTGGGCAATGGCATGCTGGAGAATGGTCTCCTGTATGTATTACAGTTTTTTTTAATTCTTTTTTTCTTTTTTGCAGAGCAGATTTTTTTCTTTTAAAAAGTTTCTTATCTCTTAAAAGATTATACATTTTCGTGATTATCAGTTTTCTGAGAAATACATGAAGCCTTGCAACAATGTTAGTTCCGGGCTAAAAAGTAGAAAGAAAGGGCACATTGTTTCTGCTGCTGCATACAGCAATATGGATATAGTTGGCATATTTTAAGTCAGGAAGTCCACAGCATTTACTTCTTTCCCCTCTTGAAATAAAGTTTTTTGTTTTCACTCCTTTCACTCCTTTCAGTTGAGGTATTATTAAGTGGCTGTAATACAAAAGATCCTGGAAAGTGTGTTTTTAAAATTAATTTGTCAATTATATGCCATCTACTCCAAAAAAACAAGCTATGAAAATGTATCAAGCTAGACTAAAATATCTTATATAACAGTTGTATTCTGTTGTATTAGTTATATCAGTCTTAAACCTGTTATTTATATTTTAATGTTGGTATTCATTTTGTTTTGCCAGTGTTCAGTTTCCTGTGGCATTGGGAGATCAACACGCCAGGTTGTTTGTGGAAACTACCACCACCAGGTGGATGACAGTCTTTGTGATCCAGATGATCATCCCAGCACAGAACAGGAATGCACAACAGTGCCCTGCCCATCAGTGTATCATCTTCGACCCAATAACCAACCAAACACCCCCTTTGTAGACTACCAGAACCCGCATCTAAATTACAACCCCCCTAGCCATCCAGGACACAGTGACTGGAATGTGCCATCTGCAGACAACCAGTGGAGGACGGGGCCTTGGGGCGCAGTACGTGTATCTAGTTTAAGACATGCAGTAATAATTCAGGTTTTTCATGCATTATGGTGTAACATAAATTTTTCTTAAACATCAATTTAATGTTTATCTTTGCAGAAGGTACATGCCGCTTTTCAGTTTTGCATTATAAGTGTTCTCACGTCACAGCTGTTAAATGGCAGTCTTTGCAGGGTTTTTTTTTGTTTGAAAAAAACATTATAAAACGTATCTGATATAGTGAGCTTACAAGAATGTTCCTTTATTCATAGTGTGTTACAGCTCCACGTAATTCCTCTGCGGTCCCCTTAAGAGGGCATAGACCTCACTCTGACAGTTAACCAATCACCTCACCTGTTTTGCACCACACCTCCGGCCTTCTCTTATTTCAGAAAATTCTGTCTCTTCACTCACTGCTCATTATTGCGTTTACCTTCTCCGAGCTACCTGTGTATTTACTACTTGGTACTTCCTTTTCTGGCTTCTGAATCATCCTCTGGAATCATGGCCTCTGGATTTCGGCTTCTGGTTTTGGCTTTTGTTTTTTGGTACTAGAAGTTTTGGCTTGGATTTTCTACTACGACTTTTGGACTTCGATTTCTGGTTATGGCGTTTGTGTTTCGCTATTGTTTTTTGTGCACTTGATTCTCTTGAATTGGACTCTATTACGATTTCTGGATTCTGGTTTCTGGCTTCGCCATTTTGTCTCCTTTTGGCATAAGAACCCCCGCATCGGAGTCTTGACTTTAACTTGTGGAAATCGGCTACTGGTAATTACTCTCTTTTCCTCTACAGTTTCTCTATTGTTTGGGTACTCCGCAGAGCGTAACAGAATACTGAACCCTAAATATGGATCCCGCGGAGTTAGACTCTATGTGTATACTCCTTAATCAACATTCTCAAGCCCTCATTCAACTACAGGCAACATTATGCCAGATCTCAGGAAAGTTGTTGGACTTGCAATTGGATTCAACCCCACAGGACCCCCTCCCACCTCTCCCCCTCCTACCACTACCTGCCCTCCTTCTAATACTCCTCCTACAGCCTGTCCCACCTCCAGACCTATGACTTTTGTCATCCCGGAAAGATTTAACGGAGATCCGTCTAAATAATAATAATAATTGTTTACACTTCTATATATATAGCGCTTTTCTGGACACTCCACTCAAAGCGCTTTACAGGTAATGGGGACTCCCCTCCACCACCGCCAATGTGCTGCATCCACCTGGATGATGTCATGGCTTTTTGACATAATGTACTTAGTTTTTTCAACTCAACTCTGAAAACTTTCCAACCTCTCGTGAAAGGGTCGCCTTTATCGTTTCATTACTTACCGGTCGGGCACTGAAGTGGGCTACTGCCTTAATTGAGCAAGATTCACTTGTAACTTATGATTTTGACCTTTATCAAGAACACCTTAGATCCGTCTTTGATCGATCAGTTTCCAGCTCACTTTCAGCCACTTGCCTAGCTTCTCTCTGTCAAGGCAGATGCACTGCTCAAGATTGTTCAATTGAATTTCGCATTCTAGCAGCTGAGACGTCTTGGAATCAGGACGCCCTTATTTTTTTATACCGACAAGGCCTCTCAGAAGAATTAAAGGATCTTTTGACTATCTTGCCTCCCGCTGGTAAAACCCTTGAAGAAACAATTACTCAGGTCGTTGATTTGGATAACAGGCTCTGCGAAAGGTGACTGGAAACGTCTAGTTCACGGAATTCCTCACCACCACGGAACTTTTCTTCTATTCATGTGTCCCCGGATCAACTGATGGAAATAGCCCATTTTACACTAACCACTGAAGAGAGGACCAGACGTGACTTGGAGGGTCGTTGACTTTATTGTGGTCAATTTGGCAACTTCCGGCCTCTTGTCCTGTCAGACCTCCAAGAAGACAACATTCCCAGCCTACCTCTCAATCAGTGTTGAGTATATTGACAGTTCTTACCTAAACCCCAACTGCACTCCATCTTCCTGCCACTCTCTCCTAGAAAAGTAAACATCTGCCCCTTTCTGCTTTTTTAGACTCTGGAGCCGCCAGGAACTTCATAGACTCTTCCCTCGCTAAGTCCTGGAATATCCCCTTACTCTTTGTAAACCCACTTCTCCGAGTCCAGACTATTGACAGCTCTTCTATTCCTTCAGGCCTTATTTCCTGGCAGACCGTCCCACTCACCCTACAGATTGATGACACTCATCTTGAGCATATTCAACTTTTTCTCCTGGAGTCTCCTTTACATCCCCTTTCTTGGCTACACCTACATGACCCCCACATTTCCTGGTCTCATAATGAACTAGTAGCTTGGGGTGCTAATTGTCTTTCCCGCTGCTGCCATCTGCCTATAAAGTTAGGCTTCACAGACCTCTCTCAAACTGATGTTTCCAGACTTCCACATCAGTACAGCATCTTGTTGGAGGCCTTTAACAAACAAAAAGCCCTAACCTCCCCCCCTTATGACTGTTCAATTGACCTCCTACCCAACACTAATTCTCGAAGGGGGCAAGATCTATCCTCTGTCTATTACGGAATCTCAGGCATTAGAAGAACACATCCAGGAATCACTCAAAGCTGGCTTTATTCTCCCCTCAACATCTCGCTAGCTTCTTTTTTGTTGAGAAAAAAGATAGGATGTCTCAGACCTTGTATGGATTACCGCGGTTTCAATGATATTACCATCAGGAATCGATATCCATTACAATGAATTACTACTGCTCTGGAATCTATACACGGCGCCACCATCTTCACTGAATGACATTTACGTGGTGCAAACAATCTCATTCGTATCAGGGAGGGTGACGAATGGAAAACGGCCTTCATTACAAACCATGCACATTATGAATATCTAATTATGTCTTTTGGCTTGGTTAAGGCCCCTGCTGGTTTTCAGAATTTTATTAATGTTTTCTGAGATATCCTACAAAGATTTGTCTTAATTTATTTAGATGACATTTTAATTTTTTGGAAAAATGTCATTTGAAAAAAAATGTCATGTATCTACAGTCCACTTCTTAGGGTATTTTCTTTCTTCTTAAGGAATACAAATGGATCCAAGTAAATTAGCGGCCATCAAAGACTGGCCATCACCAAAAAATCTGAAACAAATCCAGCGTTTTCTGGGGTATTCCAAATTTTATAGACGTTTTATTAGGGGTTTCAGTTCGGTCGTCGCTCCCATAACTGCGCTTACCTGCAAGAATCCGAAACAAGGCAAATGGATCCCACAGGCAGAAACTGCATTTACCCACCTTAAACATATTTTTACAACAGCTCCTCTACTATGACAACCAGATCCCTCTCAGCTCTTTGTTTTGGAGGTAGATGCATCAGCCTATGGACTGGGGACAGTTCTTTCTCAGTGCCATGGTCTAAAAGCAATTCTTCATCCCTGTGCTTATTTTTCCAGAAGACTTTTGCCTGCTGAGTCCAATTATGATGTTGGCAATCAGGATCTTCTACCCATTAAACTAGCTCTGGAAGAGTGGAGACATTGGCCGGAGGGGGCTCAACACCCTTTTGTCATTTACACCGAACATAAAAATCTGCAATATTTACAATCCGCAAAATGACTGAGTCCCTGTCAAGCCAGATGGTCATTATTTTTCTACCGTTTTCGTTTCTTTATTACATATACCCCTGGCTCAAAGAATGTCAAGGCGGATGCTCTCTCTTGGCTTTATCACCCTCCTGAAATGAATAAGGATCCAGAGACCATCATCCCCCTGTATAGGTTTATAATGGCTATTAGATGGGACATCGAAGAAGAGGTCAAATGTGTTCTGTCTGACCACCCGATTCCTTCACAATGTCCCCCTGACAAGCTCTTCTTTGTCAACCCGGTCTGATCCGTAGTCCTCCGTTGGGGTCATGACTCCCACTTTGCTGCACACTCCGGAGTCCTCAGAAACCTTGAAATTATTTCCAGAGACCTCTGGTGGCCTAGAAGGATACGACAGATTACGTTTGCGCGTGCCCTGTTTGTGCCCAAATTTAATCCCCCCCCCGCCAGACGTCTGCCAGACTCCTACAACCTCTTTCAATTCCTAAACGTCCTTCGTCCCACATCTCAGTGGATTTTATTACAGATCTTCCGGAGAGTCAAGGACACACTACCATGCTAGTCATCATGGATTGCAGTGCATTTCATCCCCCTTCCCTCTCTTCCTTTGGCTCAAGAACTGGCGGACCTGTTTATCCAACATGTTTTTAGACTTCATGACGTAGTCATTGACCGGGGCCCACAATTTACTTCTAGGTTTTGGAGGGCGCTTTTTGCAAATCCCTCGGAGCCTTAGTTTCTTTGATCTCAGCCTATCATCCACACGCCAATGGCCAAACAGACCGAATGAATCAAGATCTGCAGACTTTCCTTTGAGCTTATGATAAAGTTACAGCTCCTCGTCCCATTTAGGGGGCATAGACCTCGTTCTGACAGTTAACCAATCACCTCACCGGTTTTGCACCACATCTCCAGCCTTTTCTTATTTCAGGAAATTCCGGCTCTTCACTCTCTGCTTAGTATTGAGTTTACCTTCTCCGGTAAATTCAGGCTTCTGGTTTTGGCTTTTGTGTTAGATTGCTGTTTTGTGGTACTAGACGTTTCCTCTTGGATTTTCTACTACGACTTTTGGACTTCTGGTTACGGCATTCGTGTTTCGCTATTGTTTTTTGTGCTCTTGATTCTCTCAGATTGGACTCTCTTGCGATTTCTGGATTCCAGTTTTCTGGTTTCTGCCTTTTGTCTCACTCTTCCTTTTGGCATAAGAACCCCTGCATCAGACTCTCGACTAAGGCTTGTGGATACCGGCTACTGGTAATTACTCTCACCCTCTACAGTTTGTCTATTTTTTGGGTGCTTTGCATAGGAACCTCTTAAATATTTTGCACACGCATTCATCAGAGCGTAACACAGTTATTATGATCTTTGCGAGGCTGAGCCTATAAACTAGGCCTTGTGACTGTATCATGTCACTAGCTGAGTGTGACCAGGATACCCCAGGCAGTAATAGACAATTGGCTGAGTATATTAAAAGAGTGTGATTATTTGCCAGGAGATCTCTTTGCTCTAAGTAGCACAATGACTTGGCTTCCCAGGTCCTTGGAGACTGGTGGGGCTGTCATTTAAGAGATGCACATCTCCTCCATTTAGCGCTGAACATCATATAAGTGGCTGTGTTGCCTGTGATAGTGTCAAAATGGTGAGCGGGGTGGAGGTCTGTGCTTCTTAATTCTCTTATTGATTTTAATTCCAAATATTTTCAAAATACTTATCTAAGGCAAGATTGTTCTGCTGCTGTCAAGAAAAGTGACAAGTATAGAAACGCATGGTCTTTTGTTAAAAAGGTCTTTTGAAGGGTGCAGTGTGCCATGATTGTCACGATTGTGATAATTGTGTTCTTTTGAAACAGTGCTCCAGTACCTGCGCAGGGGGTTTTCAGCGGCGTGTGGTGGTCTGTCAGGATGGAGAGGGCCACACTGCCAACTACTGTGAAGAGAGACTGAAGCCTGCCGAGTCGAGAAGCTGTGACTCAGGACCATGTCCTCGCTGGAATTATGGGATCTGGGGAGAGGTGCGTCCTGTGACAAGCTGAACCAAAAAGAAGAAACTAATATTTTTTTTTTACTTTAATATTTTACTTTAAGTACTTGCAGCATTTGCTCTTTCATCACCATTCCTGAGTTTTTCGGAGTAAATGTAAATTTACTACATTTTCAAAGGAGTTACACACTGAATAAGATAACTGTTTGCATTTGTATTAAGCATGATTTTAATAGACTATTAAGAAAGAAGGAAGAGATATGTAAAAATAGTGTCTCAGAAAAGGTGGTTCATATCAACAAGTCAGGGATGTATACTGCACAGTACAGGTCTGGGAAAAGGAAGCTAACTGTTTTTAAATAAACAATTACCAAGTAACCAAGAGCCTAGATGAAGTAAAAAGCATGTGACAATATGATACATAAGGACAGGGGCTGCTCACCAATGTTAAGTTACAAATATTGTATGAAATTATCTAACAGACATGTTACAGTTTGTTTAGATATGGTTTGAGAAATTAAGACAAATAACATGCAGTACTAAATTGACTGTTTTGTACAAACAGTCAAGTTGAAAACATTTTTTCTTTTCTCAGTGCACCCAGACATGTGGAGGTGGGACAAGGACAAGACTAGTTGTTTGCCAGCTTTCTAATGGCCAAAGATTAAATGACCATAACTGTGACATTTTGGAAAAACCACCTGACATGGAGCAGTGTAACATGCAGCCGTGTCCAGGTAGTGTTTCATGGCAACGAGGACCATGGAAACCGGTACGATAGTATTATTTTTTTACTTTATTGTTGTGTTGTTGTGAATAAATATCAATTGTGCTTCATTACAGGGAGCTTATTTCAGGTTAACCTGACTAATATGTTTCAGCAGATCTCTGGGACATTAAATTGGATTCTGGGGTTCACTGTAGCTGCAGCCCACCCAGGCTGTGTTCTCAATTACATGGAGCTGATTAAAACGGTGCTCATAATTTGACATTATTACAAACATATGTATCAAATTATAAGTAAAGGCTTGAAATTTCAAACTATGAATTAGAATAGTAATGATGTCTGTGAATGCATTGTATTGAGAAGCAAACAGATAATTAAAATTATATTTATTTAATATGTGAAACATGCTTGCTATACTATTTCCCTGTAATCAAAGTACACAAATGTATATTTGTGTATAAGAGTTTTAATATTTTTTTCTTTACAAACAGCAACAAATGTTTTTGTATATTGTATGTGTATCTTTGTACAGTTTTAATTACATTCAGTTTTAAATATAATATTATGTTTATATTTTAACTGTTTTGCTGGTGCATTAAGTCAGACCTCTTTCTTATCTTAATAAATGACCAAACTTGTACAGAGGAATATATTTTAAAACTAACTGCATTTTTGCTACATACGGTAGTTGTTTTTTTGTTGTTTTCAGATATCTTAAGACCATGAAGTTTTTATCCCATTTATTGTTTGCAGAATGTAGTATTACCATTTAACATAATATTTTTTCCATAAAACCAAGGATTTAGGATCGCAATGTGTAGTAGACTAATTAGCAGTTTTCAGCCGTCGTTAAAAGGGTTAAGATTAATTAAAATTTGTCACTAGAAAGTGCATATTACATTTTATGTCAAATTTACTACATAAAATTAACCATATTATAATTACATGCTGTTTTCTTAAAAGAAAATAATAATTTGGTTTAATTAATAACCATATTACTAAAGTTCATAGCTGTTTCAGTGGTGTATTTTATTTTTATTTAAAACTAGGGAGTATGGAGTTAATAAAGTAGGGAAATTTGTTTCACTCACTCAAAAACTATTAAAATATTAAAATAGTTACAATAATCATTTAACATTATTAAAATAATTACAAGCCATACATATAGAGAACAAAATTAATAGAATATCTGTGCACTTAAGTTTTAATAAGTATACTAACTTTGATTTAACAGAACCTGCCATTGCATAGAATATTAGTAGTTCAGGTGGGTAGCTGCGTCAGCATGCGTAGGCTGCAAAGGAACAAGTAATAGGTTTATTCCATGCTGAAAAAAAAGAAGAAAGAAAACACAACGTTTTGGCCGTGGAGCCTTCTTCAGGTGTGAAGGCTGAAGAAGGCTCCACAGCCGAAACTTGTTTTCTTTCTTCTTTTTTTCAGCATGGAATAAACCTATTACTTGTTCCTTTGTAGAATATTAGTGGTGTTTTTGCTATCAATGTGCTAATGCAAATTAGATATGGAATTTGCTAATCTTAATCTTTCTTTGGTTCAAAAGGGAAAACATGAGCTACAAATATTTGTAAAAATGTAGATATTAAAAGTGATATTATGATGTATACCTAAGGATAATGCATGTATTTAACTTTCAGTTAATTGCACAGAACACATTAATAATATAGAGAGAAACTATAGCATAGGTTAACCAAGTTACTGCTGGACTTCCAATGTTGGTTATCTAGAAAAATACATTCCCGGAGCTCAATACATGCCTTAAAGTAAAAATGCAGGAAACTGTGGTGCAGGTAGGTAGTTCCCAGAAATGGCAGTGATTTGAGTATTTCGAGGTGAAGTAGGGAAAACAGCAGGGGCTGCATCTCTTGCTGAGTAGCATTGCCTCCTTGACTGTCCAGCAGTTTGGAGCATTGGTCAGTACATGTTCAGAAAGCTGGTGTCCTCTCATTGTTGCCTTGCACTGATTCTGTACTTATTCACAGTGCAAAAAGGCATTCAAACAAATAGCAAACTTCTTTCCCCAGAACCAGTTTTGGGGTACATCAGTAAACATGAAGTTCATAAGGCAAAGGCACAACTCGAATTGACGTCTAAGCTGTTCTTCAGTCCGTATAGTGACAGAGGATTTATTAACATATTTTGAGAGTAATTGAAAAAAGTGCATTAATAAATGTAGTACAGAAAAAAGTATTTATACCTAACATTTTGAAATTATAAAAATATATTGATGCACAAAAGAAGTACAACACAAATATACTGGTATACAACTAATATATTTAATCAAATATTATAAACATAGATATCAAAGAAAAAAATGTGATCAAAGAAAAATATTGTCTTAAGAATAAAACGTAGCACACTATAGAAAATCTCTAGAAAGATAATCAGCATTGACACAGACCACATCAGACTCTAGATGGATTACTGTTGGATTGTTTCAACATACAAACTGTAAAGCTGCTGCTGCTAGTGAGGTGTCTACTCACAGCTGTTCCCTGGTGATAACATTGGTGATTTGATTCCATAGATTTTGTACTGAACTCACATCAGCTGCCAATAACAAGATCTCAGCATTGGTTTCTTGAAGTTGTGTCATTGTGATCCTAGTAATGCACGTTCTTGCATTGTCATTTGAAACATTAACACTTTCAGACAGGCTTGAATGAAAAGAACAAATATTGGTTTAAAGATGTCATCAGTAAGCCATAAAGTTTCCCTCAACCTCAGCCAAGGCATTCTTGCATTAAAGGAGATTTCTGCCTACTTCTCGCATCACATCACAATTCCATTGCTCTGACAGTTTGTTGAAATACATAGCAGTGAACCTAATGCTCGCTACATTTCCACACATGTCTTAGTCACTAAAAGTCACATTTGCCGAATGTCAATTCTGCAAAGGGCAAATAGAGAGTAAAACACACCTCCACTCTCCCTCATATCTCAATGCTTTCTGGCTCACAATTACCAATGTAGTTAGAAAATAATTATGTAAACGGTTCAGACATATACTGTACGGTACAGATGTGGAACACTGTGGATCTTTTCTTCTCAGATCCATGCCAAAGACATGGTCTCTCTAACAAAGCCCATTTATTGGTTTCTTTCGGCTAGTATGATGATGGTTGAAGCTTTTCATTCTCTTAGCAGCTCCTCGCATATATAGTTTCAATGATACTAATAGCAACTTGGACATCTTTTTTAATGATGTTTTATTTACATTCATAACCACCTCCTTTTGGCAATTTTAATTTACCAAGAAATACACTAAGCTCACAATGATTTTTCTGAAAATCAAATTAATTCATGAATGTGTATGCTCATTGAAAATATAAATTGCATTATGTAGGTGCCTAATGAGTTATAGGTGTAAAATGTAAACTGTTGTGTTTTCATTGTGCATCAGTATAAATAATTTAAGTGATTTTTTTGTCTAGTGCTAGTCTTATATGCCAGTAAGATCCTTAAGTTAATTGTTGCACACTTGCATTGGAGAAGTATTTTATCTGAGCTGTCTTTTAGTGACTAAGCTAAACTAAATTGATTAGATTAGGTTTAGATTAGATTTTGATTAGGTGCAGCACCTTCCTAAGTCATTCATACCCCCAATGAAAGAGGAACAGAAATTATATGACATAAAGCTTTACAGACTGAGTAATGTATAATCTGAAAAAATAAAAAAATATATACTATTATCTATATAACATTGCTTCATGTAAAATCATGTTTGGCATAATTTAAATCCAGAAAACACAAGGGTCACATTTATTCATAATCCTTTAGTTTGTATTTTGTAATTCCTCCTCTGGAATTGACTATATTGTGACATGACACCTCCTGTAGTGTGCTTTGACGTTCTGACACTTCTGATGGGGAATATTTGACCATTCATCCAGGAAGGATTGCTTTTAATATGGAGATGCACGGCCAAGATCATGTATTTTTCGTGCAGTTAATCATTTACTTGTTGATTTAAGATGTATGCTTTAGAATATACAGTATTTTTTTCATTCTGGATTTTCCATTTTCACCAAAACATGAGAGAACCAGGTATTTGGCCAAAAGTTTGTATTATGTGTAGGAAATTTTTATAAGAATGCATCAAGATCCATTAATGCAAAAATCTGCCATATTTCACATTGGGGGTGAGTGTAGAGCGTGGGCATGTTAAAAAATCATTTTTTTGGCTTGAGGCTTATTCCTTCAGACCCGGCCTTTGGATTCATGGTTGCCTCTTCAACCACTTGTCTTACATCCCAAGGTGATAAGATACGCTGTACTTCCAAGGAACCTAACGTTATTGTACTGCATGTTTGTTTTTGCTGGATTTTATTTAAAAGATTTGAATGAATATGACCCTTGTCTTTGGTCTAATTCAGTTATTTTTTGACAAATGCTTTCTGCATTTATAATATACTGTAATTATAGCTTAATATTTTTAGGATTTTTATTCAAGACCCATTATCTAATATGGAAATATTTCTGTTATATTATTTTCCTCTTTCTTCAGGGGTGTAAATACATACTGGGGAGCTCTATAAGTAACAGCTGCTCAACAGCATGAGAATGAATCTTTGTCCTCTTGTGTTAGATACAATTATGCACCACTTTAGGACCATAAACACTGCAGTAAAGAGGTCATCCTGATTAGGTCAAGCAAGGTTGTGCTGATATTTGGGTGGTGCTATACCAAACAACTCATTTTTAAAAAACAGATAATTTAACATTTCATGTGAAACACAAGACAGCTCAGTGTTTGCTTTGATTATGCAAATTTAAATTTACTAATTCAGTATCTCATGTGTTTTTTGTATGAATTGTTAGCTCCATGTGGTGTTTTTTGGGGGGATTCATTTTTCAATAATCTTGATACCTTTATACACTAGAGATAATTATGATCAAAATTACATGGACTGGACCAAAAGTTCTGTTTTGATCTTTAATCAGAACTACCTTATTCAAATGTAACACACAAATACCTCTTCTTTTGACATTATTGTAATTTGTTGCTGTATCAAATACATGTGACTTTG